GTACCTAACAGTGATAGCCTAAAGAGAAGAGGCCCTGGGTGGCATAAATGGTCAGTGTGCTCAGCGGCTAACTGAAGGGTGGGAGGTTCGAATCTTTGTGTTAACACAAGGGCACCTCTGCAGGAAAGCTTGGCAACCTACTTCCAAAAGATGAGCCACTGCAGACCTACCGATCATAGCGCATCTCTGACAAATGAGCGGTCGGCATCTGTCGGATGTCATGCACACGGTTAGAGGGCGAAAGAGAGGCCGAGGGAGTATGCCGACGTAAGATAGGGTAGGGGCTGGTCTGAGGAGGGCTAAGAAGCAGTGGCTTTATTTAATTGAAAACAGGCCATTGGAGAGGGTTAAACAGAAGGAAGGGAAACTTGCTGAAGATTGTGTTTTAGAAGATCATTCTGACAGCAGTTTGACAAATAGATTGGCGACACAGAAGAATAAGAGCTGACGTGGCTGAAACGTGGGCAGTGGTAACAGAGCTGGAAGGGAAAGCCTTGAAAGACACGCAGAGCCCCTCTAGAATTGGCCCTACTGTGCACTCCCTCGCCCCACAGGGCCTGGCTTCTAACCTCTGGTCGGCACTCAGGTTGGGCGCCCCTGTCTACACACTCTTGACGGTGGTGCTCTCTTCTCCATCACCACGGACTCCTACAGAAATCTGCAAAAGTTCGCCTCTGGCTCCCTGAGCTGTGATGTCACATCTGTCCCAGGACCTTAGATACGTTAGGGCAATGGGATGCAGTCCCCACTCCAGTACTGGGCCAGGCACATAGGAAGTAGTGTGGAGCTAGGAGACGACAAAGGGAATTTAGCACAAGCAAAACAGTCCAAATACAGCGCAGGCGCCTAGAGAGCATGACCTAGAATTTTAAGCCCTAAAGAAAACTATTTAGGGCTCTAACAAAGGAGCATGCCACGCCACGAGCCCAGCCGTGGGTTGGATCTCACAGCGGCAAGCCCTCCAAACAGGTAGCTCTCACTTTGACAACCTGCTTGGGAAAGGAAACAAGAGAGACCACAGCCCCAAAGTGAACAAAGCCTGGGGCTGTGCGAGCCTTCCTGGGGGTGTGGGGTTCCCTTAAGGTTTCCCAGGAAAGCATGACAACTGAGGCAGGGGCAAAGTATGTATGTGCTGGGAGGGAGAGAGGGAGAAGAAGAACTTGGTAGAAACGAAAATCTCTTCATGGCTGGAAAAGTTGCCCAGAGCTGTATGCTTCACGGATGGCTCCTCATTTCCTAGTGCTCCTTCCAAGGCACGCTGTGTGGCTGACAGGACCATCAACCACTTTACCAAGGAGACTGCCAAGCGGGGGCCTGGCACTGAAGACCTGGATCCCAATGCTGGCTTGACTGTTAGTTGCCTACAGACAAGGGCCTAACATCTCTGAGCTTGGGTCTCTTTGTCTCTAAAGAAAATAAGAATCAGCAATATTTACCTGCTGGGTCATAAAGAAGCCTACCAGAGATAAAGCACACACCCATGACACAAGAGAGACTAAAAAGGTGTTGGCCTGCCCTTGGCCCTTACCCCCTTGCTGAGCGGCAACTAGAATTGGGTGAGAAGAAGGCCACATAGAAAGACTGAGCACCCAGTAAAACTGTGGTGTGGGGTTACCACCCCCTGGAAACATGCAAAGTCCCACAGCAGCTGGTTTGACATCTCCTGGGTACAAGAAGAGGTACATTTCAGGACAGCTCTGGCTTCTCGTTGTGAAGTGCTGTAGCGTCCGCGCCAACACATTGCTTCCCGTGTACTACAGAACGAAACATTGCCTGGTCCTCCTCCCTCATCTTCACAATTGCAGCCACTGTGTCAATCCACCTCAATGAGGGCCTTCCTTTTTTTTTTTTTTTTTACGTTTGAGCCCATAGTTGCAGCTACTGTGATAATCTATCTTCTTGAGGGTCTTTTTTTTTTTTTTTTTTGCTGACCCTCTATTTTATCAAAGGAGCCCTGCTGGCATAGGGGCTATGCATTGAGCTGCTACCTCCCAAGCAAGCTGTTTGATTCCATCAGCCACTCCACAGAAGAAAGATGAGGCTGTCTGCTCCTGTAAAGATTTAAGACATCTTGGAAACTCATCGGGGCACTTCTACTCTGTCCTATGGGGTCACTATGAGTCAGCATTGACTTGCTAGCAGCGATTTGTTGTATACTTCATCAAACAAGATGCCTTTCTCTAGGGACCAGTCTCCCCCCCCAGGAGTGCTGGTGGCCTAATGGGTTTCCATGGCACTACAAACCGCCAGCTCAGCAGTTTGTTACCAAGAGCCTCCTCACAGGAGCACGAAGAGTTATAGGCTCAGAAAACCAAAGGGCAGGGCCAGTCCTAGTTTGTCATGTAAGGTGGCTACGAGTTTGAATTGGATTCTCTCCTGGTAGTCTGTTCAAAGTAAAGAAGAATGCTTGCTTCGAGAACACATCCTGCCTGCACTTCCTAGCAGACATCTTTTTCCTCGGACAGTCCATGGTATCGACAACATCCTGAACTAAGGCCAGGATTCAAATGCGTGAAAGGGTCTTTGATTTTCCTTATTCACTGTGCAGCTTTCGCCCACAGATCAGGTCATTAAAAAGACCATGGTTTGGGTCAGGTGCACCCTAAGCCTCGCTCACGGTGACATCTTTGCTTTTTATCGTTTTTCAGGGGTCTTTTGCAACAGATTTGACCTACTGTCTCATTTTCCTTTCTCCTCCCAAGGGGAAAAAAATGAAGCTAGGTGGAAGAATGTGTTTTTCAACTCCCTTTGATGAAACTGGCCCCGGGCCTCTGCGTCTCTGCAGCTACTCTGCCAGTTTCCAGATATTGCTTACATTTCTTTTTAAAGAAAAACCCTCGAGATTTACCAATCTTCCAGTCTAGAGGATGGACAGTTCAAGATTCATGGTTCTGAGGCCAGGGACTCCATGTGCTTACTTAGGAGGATTCATATCGATTTTAAAATGAGATTTGGCAGGGGTGGCCATCTGCCTTAGTGGCCTCTCTGCAAAGCTGCAAGAGTCCAGCCCAGAGAGCATACATGTTTGCTGAATGGATGAATGAATGAATGAATGAATGATCTCTCCATCAGGGTGGCCATCTGCCTTAGTGGCCTCTCTGCAAAGCTGGAAGAGTCCAGCACAGAGCATACATGTTTGCTGAATGGATGAATGGATGAATGAATGAATGATCTCTCCATCAAGAGGAAATCGGGTAGCACTGGTGCCCACTGACACCCTTCTCTCCCACTCTCCTATTCTATTGCTCTTTTGGATCTAGAAGCAAGATACAGTCGGCAAGAAGCCTGCTTCTTTATCCTAGCAAAAGGTGTGGGGGGGGAGGGGGGTTGGGGGCTAAGGTTACAACCTAGTTTCAACTTCCTCAGGCCTATACCCTTGGGAAATACGCCTCTAATCCCTTCCCTCAGTAACTAAACGCAAATCAGCAACAACCACAACCACTTTCAGAGGTTTCCCTTGTCTACCTATCTCTCACTGGGTTTTCTGGCCCAGGTGTCTGGCAGTGGGTGGGTCAACAGGCACGTGCTCCAGGGCTGGTCAAGGAAGTGGCGAAGAAGCCACTTGCCAAAAGAGCTTTGGGTGCGGATCAGTATGCTTGGTTCTCATTTTTCTTTCACCTCCCAACTCTTTCAAACTCACCTTACAAAGTTAACCTAGGATGGTGGAAAGGGACTAGAGCCCTGAGCCTGGGTGCTAACAGCAAGCTAATTTACTCCCCACCACCCTGGGCAAGTCACGTCCTCCTTTTGAACCCATGTCCTCATCTGTGAAATTTAACTATGATATATGCTGGGTTCATCTTTCAGGTTAACTGGGAAGAAGCAGAGGGACTTCAAAAAATTAGAAAACTCTCTAAACGGCCAAGCAGCCGCAGTATTTTCACTTCGTTCCTAATCTTAGGTCTTCTCTTCTAAATGGAGGGTAGGGGGGTTTAATGTCTCTATCCACGCTGATACATGTCTTCCTTACCAGAGCCTTTTCGCTGCTGCTCTTGAGCCTCCTGCTCCCTCAAAAAGCAAAACAAAAGCAATGCTTTTCTCTGTCCTAGGGCAAGTTGGGAAAAGAGAGCCTGCTGCTTTCTCTTCATCATGTGAAAGGGACTCAGCTCAGCAGGAAGAGTTCTGGGAAAAGAGGCTAAGGGCTGGTTTCTTGACCTCTCACTGAATGAACCTCAGTTCCCTCATCTGTCAATTGGGGAGGCAGCTATTTGCCTATCTTCAGAGCCCTGGAAGCGCAGAGGTGGGAGACATTGTGTGGTCTTCATGACCTATAAACCCTCTCCTGGCTTTTCCTCTCATTGGGGGCAGGGGGCTTCTTAGAGATGCAAACGCTGTGTGGAGGCTGAAAGATGTCTTCGGCTTCTTCCTTTTCCACTTTCCCCCTGCCACTTGGACACGGAAAGGCAGGAGAGAGTGGTGCCAGGAGGACTGAGGTTCAAGGCCTCCTCATCCTCCAGCGATGGCCTGGATGGGACAAGGACACCATAACTTCATTCGGTAAAGTTGAGGCTCTTACCTAAAGGGGCCTGAAAGAATCTGCCTGGCCCTCCTACTCCAAGGAGGTCGCCAAGGGCCTTAAAGGGAATGAGAGAGACAGCTTTGAGAAACTTAAGGGAGACAGCAACGGAGAAGGGACGGAACTGGGGAAGAGGTAACGAGAAGGTGAGGGGTGGCAATGCGGAGGTGCAAACACGCTGAAGGAGCAGAGAAAAGTGAAGGGAATACAGAGAAGCAGAAAGAGGGGGGCTGAAGAGAAGCGATGGAGGCAGACTGACAGTGCAGGAGCATTGAAGGCAGAAGACAAAGGGGGGTACCATCCTGTAATTTTAACTGGTCTGGCCTTTTCGAGCTGCCTCGTTCCCCAAGGAAGAGCTCCGGGGTGGGAGGAGAAGGCAGAAGCAAGCAGTGGCTTCCCCCGGCCCCCTCTGCCCCAGCCCCGGCCCCCTCCCTCGTCCCTGCCCCCGCCCCGGTCCCCAGGTCCCCCTGGTTCCATCACTCACCTGCCAGCGCCAGGATCTGGGCCTTGTGGAGCAGGAGCGCGCCCCAATCGCGGGGGGCGCGCGGGGGGCTCTGGGGCCCGGCGCCCAGCTCCTCCGGGCCGCGGTACACGGCGTACACCTTCTGGTTGTCAAAATCCAGCCGCGAGCGGGGGCTGAAGTCGCGCACGCACGACACGGGCAGCGCGTAGCAGACGTTGTCCTCCAGGAACCGCACAAAGGCGTACATGGCGGGGCCGGGGGCGGGCCCCGGGCGGGCCGGTCACCCGCGGGGCGGGCGCACTTTTTAAAGAAAAACCCTCAAGATTT